GTGTTAAAGATTAAGGCTGACTCGGCTTGAGTTTCTTACCATCAATAAAAACAATTAACAGACCAAAACCAAGAATGAAATGTGTTTTGATACTATCATATAAATACCCCCACAGCTTCCGGTAGCTGGTGGTGCTGACTGGACGCTTCGATGGGAACAGAATCAGAATCTCCCTGTGAATTTCAAAGTATGGTTCAATGGTATCAACTGAGTTTCTCCAAATCCGTTTGGTTAAACCCTTCCCTAAACTGCAAATCCAAACAGTCTAAAAACGTCCCCAAACGTCCCTCAGTGTCATTGCTAATGCTGGTGATTCTTAACAAAACGTCCTAAGTGAGACCTGACCTGAAGCCCTGATGGTCCAGCTGCTGCTTCCTCAATCTCTGGATTTCTGAATTTCCTGAATGCATTCCAAGATAATGCTTTAATTAACAAAATAACCTCATGAGAATTATATGTAATGCATTTGTTTATTCTGAAATTAATGTTTAATATGTAGGTAATCTGTTCAGGACTAATTCCTCTGTGCTGGATTTCTGAGCAATGAAATAAAGTAATAATTAATTCATTATATAATGCATAATTGTGTGCATTCCAATTTATAGCACCTTTTTACTACCAACAAGTATAACAGTTAATCAGTCTTGAGTTGCTGGCCTGCTGGTACCAGTATAAACTAGCATGGTTCCATTATGTGGGTACGTTAGTTTTATCCTTCTGGCTTCAACAAGGCAGCTGCTGCTAACGCACTGATTCAAGGATTCAGACGCTAGAGATGTAAATAAAGTGACATGCTGCACACTAGAGGATGGATACCAGACACTAACAGCCTACATTGTAGAGGGCGGCATCGTACAACCAGCAGGTGAGCTGACACGACCTGTGACCTGATAGCTCAATTGATTTGGTTGATTCCACGGCACCGTTCAGGGCGTTGACCTTGTAAACAAAAGCCCCCCCCCTTAATGAATCATAAATGATGAGCAGATCTCAGGCCTGTGTGTCTGATTGACAGAGTTCGGAACGTCCCAGAGTTCTGCACATCTTCAGCTGGAACGACCACTTCTTCCGTGTCAGCACGAGGGACTTTACAGTTCGTCGATGTTTCATCAGAAACGCTTCCATTTCCCGTAAAGGCTCCTCTGAGCAGCTCACAGCCTGATCACGTCGCTCTCACGTTCCTCCGCCTCTCACATGGTCCGCCGAGATCCAATCAGCAGCTCAGCGCTCAGCGAGCGCGTAGAAAACTCCTTTGAGCGCGAGCAGAGATTCTCCTCGCGAGCAACGAAGTTCACGTTTCACAAGCGAGCAAATATCTCGCTCGAGACGGACTTTTGCTCGCCGATGTTTGATTTTGGTTAAATTCTTAAGGTCATTCAATCATTATGTTTTGATCAGAGTTGTGATTAAAGGTTTGGGTGGGAAGATTTTCAGATTTCAAATTAGGCCGGGGCATTTTTGAGTTTGGGAACCGCTGTAATACAACTAATACAATTAATAAGAGAGCCGGAAAATAGTTTTATCTTAAAAACAACAAACTTCACATTCATAGTGATTTTCTTCTCTAATTGACTTTCAGTGGAATACGTGACCATCGTCGACACGTGACCTTCTGCTGTGCGTTCAGCTTCGCCTGCACCCTGCTGGTGCTGCTGGTGGAGCTGTTCGGCCTGCAGGCCCGGGCCCCCGTGTCCTGGACCAACTTCCCCATCACCTTCGCCTGCTACGCCTGCCTCCTCTGCCTCTCCGCCTCCGTCATCTTCCCGCTCTTTTTCCTCAAGTACCAGAACTCCCCCGGCGAGGCCCGCGACCATCGCATCGCCGCCACCGTCTTCTCGTGCCTGGCGACGGTGGCCTATATGGGGGAGGTGAGCCTGACCAAAGCGAGGCCGGGGGATGTGGCCGGTTACATGGCCACGGCCCCGGGCCTGCTGAAGGTGTGCCAGACCTCTGTGGCGTGCATCATCTTCCTCCTGGTTTGCGACCCCGTGACCTACGACCGGCACGCGGCCCTCAAGTGGTGCATGGCGGTGTACTGCATCTGCTTCATCCTCTCCGTGGCCGTGGTGGTGCTGTGCGTGGGCGAGTGCACCGGCCGCCTCCCCGTCCCCTTCTCATGCACCTGACAGTCATGTACTTGACGACGACCACCCTCTTAAGACACTAGGGCGCCCTGGAGTACAGTACATAAATTGCTATAGTTGAAGTAGTTCTGTAGGATATTAGAAACAAATTGACGATCCGGTTCATAAAATTAATAAAAATGCATATAGTGTACACCAGAATAGAGCCATGTTTCTGAAACTGTGTAATCCATAAAGTAATGACAATATTGTAAAACCACTGTAATTCTGCACTGTAGTAGAATAATACCAATGTAGTTATGATTGTATTTGATGTAATGTAATCAACTGGAATGCATGCATGTAATACTTGCACAACCACTGATATTGACTAAGGATCATTCGAAATCCGAGTTACATTGAACTCACCTGAAGACTCCCAGAGGTGTGGACACTGACTTTCACACCTTTAAGCATTGTTATAAATACCTGTAGGAACCATTGTTCTGGAGTTCGCAGGTGGAGGTGACAGACGGGCACTAGGGATGGTCAAAGGACTGACCTGGGGCCTGTTGGTCGCTGAGACCAGCGGCTCCTCAGCTGAGATGTTCTTTTTACCGCAACGCCATCTCTTTTATTAAATACATTTGATTTTAACCTTTGAGCGTTTCTTCATTTTTGAACACAACAGCTCTTATCATCTTGTGTTTGTAACTCTAATGTAATATAGATGAATTTTTAAGTTGTTTCATAACCTTTGTTTTCTGCTGTAATGTGATTCTCGTACCTCATTGCTTTAATAACGACTACACGTTATTACGTAAGTTATTTAATACAGCATTAATAAAAGATCGCCGCGGCGGTGCTCACCGCCCTCAACGCCTCCGTGGGAAAGTCTCAGAAGAACGGCTGGTGGGAGACTTACGTTGCATAGACACCATTAAACTGTTTACTTGTACGTGTATTTAAGGTGAGATTCTTACGTATGAAACACTGTTCAAGAACACTGTTAACTTAGTTAATGACAGTGATGAGTGTTAAAGAGTTGTTGTTCTGGGGCCGTTATTAGCATTAGCCTAACAAGCTAACCTGTGTGTTCATCTGACTGTTATGGAGAAGCCTGTGTAATCCCCATGTTGATGATGTTTGGATCTGTGGGAAAGGACGATTGACGGGCGACTAACGTTGATTAGAAAACACCATTAAAACGGTTTACTTGCACATTTATTTAAGGTGTCCGCTGTTGTTATTTGACGCGCCATCGAGAGGAGGGCAACACTAACAATGGGCTTTAATTCTAATCGGATTAAAGTGCTACTTTATGTTTGCTGGCTTGTCGTCCTGCAGACGTGCGTTGGCACGTCAACAGAAAGACGAAACAGTCATCAGTTGATCGGATGCCCAATGGCACATGGGCCTGAATGGCTTCTGCATCAGACTGTAGAGCTCAATCACTTAATGAAGACGTCCTCGGTTTGGACACTAGAGGACACCAACGTCCCAGAGTTCTGCACATTTCCGTGTCAGCACGAGGGACTTTACAGCTCGTCGAAGTTTCATCAGAAATGCTTCCATTTCCCGTAAAGGCTCCTCTGAGCAGCTCACAGCCTGATCACGTCGCTCTCACGTTCCTCCGCCTCTCAGATAGTCCGCCGAGATCCAATCGGCAGCTCGATGCTGCAGATTCTCAGCATTTATCATTGGAAATGCATTTATACAATTTAGAAAGTATTATTTAACAAGTAAATGAAGCTGCAGGTAAAGTGTGTCTTTATTATGGGCTCTTCGGTCTCGCTAATCACTACGTTATTTCATACAGCTTAAATAAAAATAGTTTGATCATAAAAGAACAAACTTCACATTCAGAGTGATTCTCTTCTCTAACTGACTTTCAGCAGGTCTCATGTTGTAGAATCCCAAATGAGATCTGCTGTCGATGGAGGAAAGAAAAGTCCCAAAGTCACTCACGGTGTCTGTGTGTGTGTCTGCAGGGTTTCACCTCCAGTGTGAACGGACCTGTGAAAAACACCAGAACAACAGGAAGGACGTGGAAGGCGTCCGTCAGTGTCAGTTAGAATCCATGAAGTCGTCACACTGGAACACAAGGACACGCGTTAAATTGTATTTCACATTAAGACATTGAGGCGCCCTGGATGTTCTCTTCCTGCCCTGTTTTCCCTTTTGTTTCATATTTATTCTCCTTATTACAGTATCACAGCCAGTGTTCTGCACATCTTCAGTAAAGGGGTCAAATGGGTGGTTTACATGTTGTACCTCGTCATTTACAAGTGCCTTCCTCATTCCCAGTGTTGTGAAAATAAATGTTATCGACCTGACAAAACCTTTTTTTAGTGAGTGTTTGGGTCACAAAATACTTTCTCTTTTCATCCTGATAGAGAATCAGTGTTGAAGCATTTGAAGTAATGTAAAATTTATGAGTTCCTTTATTTAAGCACCTGATGAAAGTGTTTTTAATGCAGCGATGAACACAACCGCGTCTTTGTTTCTCTCTGTCGCTTCTATTCAGTCAGGAAATGAAACCAGCTGCAAAACAAATAGGCAAGAAAAGACGTCCTGAATCCTGAATGACAGGTTTGTTTTTGTGTAACTGTTAGATGGATAACAAGTTGAAGCTGTGCTTGGTGAACAGTACAGAACATAAATTGCTTTAGTTGAATTAGTTCCTTTTATAAAGGGAACCTCATGAGGACTGAGGGGAGATCATGTGAAAGGAGGAAGTAACAAACGTGTTGTGGTGAAAAACGTACTTGAAGAAGAAGATTCAGGAAACACTTTCAGACTCAGTCTGCTCCGTCCAACTGTCTCTACTGTCACTTCACCCTCGACGACATGAACGGTAAGTTCATTTCTTTCACTGTATTTTGTGTTCAGTGCTGTTACAGCTGATTCTGTATTTTTATGCTTGTGTTTTTGTTACATTATTCTCTGATAATGACTGTTATAAAGTAAAGTACGAACTACTTTCAATTCTCATTGTAACTTTTGACCAATAACAACATTTATTGTATTTGAGCTCATGTGTGTCCTACATGAAAACAAACAAAAGCCAAATGAACAATATAATTGATGGACATTATTGTCTTTCAGAGATGAGGATTGTAATGCTGGGAAAAACAGGAGTTGGTAAAAGCAGCGTGGCGAACACCATATTAGGAGAGGACGTGTTCCAGATCGGCCTCTCTGGCATCTCTGAAACAAGAGAATGTCGATCAGAAACCAGATGTGTTGATGGAAGAGACGTCACCTTGATCGACACTCCTGGTTTGTTCGACACGGGTCGATCTGAAGAGGAGCTGAAGGCTGCAATAGTGAAGTGCATCACAGAGTGCTCTCCTGGGCCTCATGCTTTTCTCATAGTGTTTAACGTGGGGACATTCACAAAGCTGGAGCAGGAAGTGATCAATAAAATCAACCAATACTTCTCTGAAGAAGCTTTCAAGTATGCAACAGTCCTCTTTACTCATGGTGACCAGCTGGAGGAAGGACAGACTATTGAGGAATATTTCCACAACAATCAGCGTGTGAGTGATCTGATGAAGAAGTGTGGAGGCCGCTGCCACGTCATTGATAACAAATACTGGAAGAACAACCAGCCGGATGATTACAGGAGCAACCAGTTCCAAGTGAAGCAGCTGATGAAGACCATCAATCACATGATTGAGAAAAACAAGGGAAGCTGCTTCACCAACGAGATGCTACAAGCTGTGGAGAAACTGATACAAGAGGAGGAGAAACAGATCAGACAGTCATCAGGAAACAAGACAGACAAGGAGATCAGACAGAAGGCTAAAAATAGAGCATGTAGTAGGCTTTTGATCAAATTGGCAGGTGTTGCAACAGGTGCATTGTTAGGAGCTCTTCTTGGTGGCGTTTTTGTTGTTGGAGCAGCAGCAGGAGGACCAATTGGACTAGCAGCAGGCTTGATGATCGGTGCAGGTGTTTTAGGAGGAGCGATCAAAGGAGGTGCTAGAGGATACGATGCCGCTAAGGAAGCAGACACACCAAGCGAGGCAGTAGAGAGAGCAGCAGATGCTGTCTTTAATGTAATCTCTGCCTTTAAAGATCAGAAAAAGGTGCAATGAACAAATCTGAATCAAAACCTTTAATGTGCCCTTAGGATTCTTAGAACGTGTCATTAAACATGTCCTTTAAACACCTCCTTTAAACAACATGGAATCTTTAACTATTGAGATGATGGTGTTCGTATGTAACAGGTTGAACTTCTTTCGTCAGCTTTCTTCTATTTTCTGACTCTTTTCTGCAGGAACAGCTGCAGAGCAAAGCGCTTCCTGACTAAAAGTTCAATCTTTTCTTATTTGTAGTACAAAGTGCCTGATATGTTGTTTCTTATGTGTATTATCAACTGTGGCAACAAACCACAAATATAATGTTGTTTCATCATCTTGCTTCAGTAAGATCTTTAGAAAATGTCAAACTAGTGTGGTCATTTGGATGTTGAATCGTTGTTCTGTTTCCTGTTACAACGTCAACCAGAACATGTTTGTTTCTATTTACATCATTTTGTGAGACAATAATTGTTTTTATCTGTGGATTAAAATGTGTCAGCAAGACAAATAAAACAAGAAATGAATTGAAGCCTGTGAAACTTTTTTTTACTTTGTAAAGCGACACTCCAGCACACACACACACACACACACACACACACACACACACATACAGGAAGTGAAGATAAGACTTGTCTAAATGGAGAGAAAAGAGACACAGGACGTTTTTTGTGTGAAAACTTTTCCTCTTCACTGATTTCTCTTCTGAAATCAGACTCAGTAACTTCAAGTTAATAATTTCAGTCATTACGACGTGTTGATTCAAACCACCAACCTTGTGGTTCCCAGCACACCCTGTCTACCCTGCGCCACGACGGCCCTTTACGACATTGGCATTGGCATATGGCATTTCTGCAGTTGAAAAATGTGTTAAACATTATTTCCTCCCCAGAAATTCCACCTTGAAAAGAGAAGAATGTCTGCGCATGTAACTGTTGTTTCAATAGAAACCTCAGCAATCATAAATATAAAAAGAAATAGTAACGTTTGATCTCAAAGAAAAAGAGCTGTAGTTTGTTAACATGGTTTTCACAGTCTGCCCTCCTTTACGGCTCAATCAGGAGGGAACATACCTGCAAACTTGTCGCTTTTGGGCGAAATTCACAGTTTTGAAATCAAAACAGTTCACCCAGGTGAATTGTGTAGATCAGAAGAGTTTTTATTTGGGGGGTCAACTGGCCGACAAGGCGTTTCTGAGATTGGGGTGAAACTAGGGGGGTAACGATTCATTCACTGAATCGATTAATCGATGTATATTCCTGCGACCCAACTGAATCGATCTGTGCTCCGCAAATCGACATTCCGGACGACACATATCGATTACAAATCGATTGAAATGGTACATAATCGATTTGTATCGATACTTGGAAACTGCACATTGGATTTAAGCACAAAAACGGTGTCGATGTGTGTTTGTTTGTTTGTTTTTTAGCACTTTAGACACGTTAAACGTTACTGGATTCAGTCTGCCTGTTTGTGACGTCATCAGTACGAAACTCTGAACAACAACAAAACACAGCGTGGAGGAGACGACTGCGAGCGAGACATTTACCAACTTATCGATGGAAACATTTGGGCTTTTGCAAACACGGAGGTGTTCTAAATAAGTCGCTCGCTGTTTGTAGAATATGTAGAAGCCAAATAAAAACCAGGGAAACACGATGAATCTTTCCGGCCGTCTACTAAGGCGGCGTGGGATTAAACAACGCCGACAGTCAGGACCTCGAGCAGCGTCACCGCTGCAGCAGCAGCAGGTAACTCAGCTCTGCAGACGCCTCAGGCCTCCAGCACCAAACTCAACATCACAGTAACAAGTTTATCTGTAAAGACATGTGACCCTACAATGTGGTTGAACATCCGGGGTTCTGTGAATTGATCCAAACATTGTGTAATTATTGTGTAATGTTTACATTGAAAATGGCACTTGATTCAAATAAAAAGGTTAATACATTTGCCACTAATTGTTGTTTGCTTGTTTATAATATCCATAATTAATTTAAACCTGATTTCCTTACAAGAAACAACAGGGATCTCAGAAACTTTGCCTGCACTGTCCAGTAAAGTTACTGAATCCATTTCAAGTCACTGAATCGAATCAAATCGAATCGTTGTAAATTAACCCAGATCGTCCATGAAGCGAATCGGCAACCATGAAGCGTGATTCGAATCGAATCGTTGTTAAACTGAATCGTTACACCCCTAGGTGAAACAAATACAAAAGTTGCTGTTTGTAATAAAACATCTCTGATGTGACGTAACGAGTCTTGGCCAATCAGCGCTCAGATCTCTACCGTGTTAAATCTGGTCACTTTCCAAACCCTCTCTGCGTTTTTCTGTCAAAAGCGACTAGCGGGAAAAACTTTCCTGGTGTTGGACGAGATTGTCGTTCTCTGTCCTCAGCGAAGAGCCATGTATACAGTTATATTTGAATTTTCCTCAACCCTGGTATTATTTATAGTAGTAGGTATTACATATGTAGTTGAAGCCTTCATTCCTCTTGTTGTCTGTACCACAGATCTCTAAATCCCAGGAGAACAATGGTTCTGTCATATAACCTTTTGTCAACGACACGTGATGAACTGGATTTGAATCCTTGATTCTCCAAACAGCAAATTACCTTTAATTATATTTTCTGATCTTCTTAATATATATATGTACTTCGGCTTGAGGCCACGGGTCAACTCAAAGGCCTCATTGTTTTCACTTCACCTAGTACTGGTAGGCACGTGCACAGACTCCATGTGGTGCTCAAGCACTTGCCCTTTTGCCCCGGATAAGAAAAGTGCTCCTTCTGCTGGAGCCTAATACTTCTTCATTCATCAATATTGAGAAAAAAATGACTCTCTCTGTCATCAATGTGACCGAGTGTGTTTTGGTATCTGAGCGACATTTATGTGAGTTCTTGTGAGATAAATCAGTAATGTTTGATCTCAAAGAAAAAGAGCTGTAGATTGTTAACATGGCTCTCAAAGTCTGACCCTCCTTTATGGCTCAATTAGCGAGGGAGATAAACAGAAGGAGATAAAAAGAGTTTCTATTTGGGGGGTCAACTGGCCAGCCAGCGTTTCTGAGATGGGGTGAAAGTAGGAAAAAAGTTGATGTCTTGATCTTCGCAATAAAACATCTTTGATGTGACGCAACGAGGCTTGGCCAATCAGTGGTGATGTTACAAGATGTGCCGACGCTTCGAAGCGTGTGTCGAGTAATGCAGGGGGCGTGTCCTCGAAGCGCGTATCAAGGCTTGCTTCATTTAGGGGAGGAGCCAAAAATGATGATAAAATAGACTACATAGGCTAATAGGCTACAACAACAGCTTCGTGCACTGGTTTGATTATTTGCCGTTTCATGCCAAGGAAAAGTGTGGTGGTTGTAGCTGGTTGTCATCTACGGTCCACTACTGTTACACAGAGGTGTCCTTTGTGTTTTTATAATGTTTCATCTCATAATTTAGACTTTATATCCCCTTTCTGTAGTGCGGAAATGGGCTTCTATAGTCCTGTGGGGCCACCTACTGGTAACGGGAAGTCAAATTTTCTAGTATCCAGGAAAAACGAAGGTGGCATTTTGAGAGGCTTTAATTTCTAAAACGGTACATCAGAATCTCCTGGTTATCACTCAGTCACACCTTGGGGATGTCTACTCTCTGCTTTAAGTGGAAATACTGTGTGACTATTGATCTTATTCCTTTCTAAATATAATCTGAAATTGACCAGATTTTGAAGCAAGTGTATGACATTTTGAGGGGCTTTGAAATGGTACACCAGAATGTCCTGATTATCCCTGAGTGACTCCTTGGGGATGTGTACTATAAGAGCGAGGACCTGTGCATCGCTGCTTTAATTGATATTTGTGCTTTTGAAACATGGAATATAACCAGTAATATTTGTAGATATCTGCGCAAAATATATGCTTTTCCTGCATGTCCTCTCCGCTTGTCTGCTTGTCTCAGCTGGGCTCGGGCACGGTCCAAATGCAGCGGGTCTAAGAAGCAGTTTAGCCAATCACTGATAAGTTAATGATGGACATTATAATTTCAGCGTCCTAAAATACATTGAGATTTCGGCTCTTCGCCGCCCTACGCTGCGCTCTCGTCAGAGCGTTTAACAACAACAAGAGCCACCAACCACCGGCAGTCCTTCCAAAAACACCTGACCCTAAGTCGGTACGAGAGAAGAACTTTGCAGGAGAAACTAGAGGTACAACAGCTGGACGAAGATCAGCATATGTATATTCATTATTATAATACGGGTAGATTAAATCCAGCGATAATGTACATTACCTGTTCACATTGATCTGTGCACTTAAAGTAACAGGTAAAGGCTGGTGCATGCGTCTGCACGCACTGTTACGTCGACGCACTCGTTTCAATTCATAAGGCGTGCGTGTGTTGCAGAGCTATTCACTGCCAGAACAATAGGTGGATAAAAGAAAGTAAGACGACCTAGAGAGTCACGTCTTTGTGTGTGGAAGTCGTTGGTTGGTTTATTTATTTATCATAGACTTTATTGTCCCTGTGCATTGCTACTGCTGCTTTTCATCAAGGACACATTTGTCCCGTATTTTCCTCCACAACGTTGTTCCTCTCGACCGGCAAACCGACGTTTGTGGAGATCTCCCTCCATGAATCAGAGGCCATCCTTATAGTCCGCCAATGACGGCTTGTATAAGTGGTCATATTTACGCATTTCTTCCCAAAAAAGTTCTTCAATCTGATCCGTTCTCTCGTAAACATTCTTCCTTTTAATAATGGAGGTATTGGGCTATGAAAACGGAAATGTGAGACTCCGTAAAGGATGTAGTCAGCAGACCAATTACAGCTTGTGCGCTGCGGGAGGCTGCGTCGCTTTCGACACTAGTCTAGAAAAATGGGTCGACACACGCAAGGAAGTGTGAAAAGACACGCAAGGGACACGCAAGGGGGTCTTGCGTCTGTGTGTCCTCGCGTTTCTCTGAAAACGCCGAAGCATAGACTAGGCTGTAGGGATTTAAGCACTACAGCACACCTAGTGGTCGAAATGATAATACATGTAGTAATGTTTAGTGTTAGAATTGTAGTTTGTGTGATGTTAGATAGTAGTTATTACATAAGCATGTTAGATAAAATAATTGCAAACTAAATCTAACATAATTTATAGTCATTTAAGTCATATATGATCAAAGGATGTACGACAGCCCTGCGAGGCAAACATTCTGGTTGTAGACCATATAGAACTGTTATGAAATGGGATGTTATTATGCATGCTATGTTATGTTTACATGATGAATCTTTAAGTCAAAGATGTGATCATTGTACCTGAAATTGTATTTAAAATGGCACTTATCGCTAGCAAATTGTAAATGGACTTATTTGATGAAATTGAAGTTTCTTGCTCAAGGCAGTTGACTTTTTATGACCTGCGTGGCGGCGTTCAGCGTGACGGCGCACGGGGCCTGGCTGGGCCACGGGGGCGCCGGCGACTGGTGCATCCTTTGCTGGGCGTTCAGCTTCATCTGCACCCTGCTGGTGCTGCTGGTGGAGCTGTTCGGCCTGCA